TTATTAAAAGTTATCATTTGTTCTGGTAACCAGTAGTGCATAAAAGATTAATCACAAGATATATCGATTATACTGGGTAAATATGGTTGTGTATATTTTAGATATAATAATTGATTGATTGTGCTTTCCAATTTAATGTTAAATTTATTTGAAACAGATTGTTTGCACTTCCGTAGGACATCCAAGGAATATAAAGTTCTGGGTTCTAATTCACCATATTTCATTGTTTCATTTGCTTTTTTCACACGGCAGTTTAAGGCAAAATCTGTAATAATGAATTTTGTGGGGCCGAAATTTGTCCTGACATTACGCTAAAGGCTAAAAAATGTAATCTCTGGAATAGAAGAATTAGACACTAGTATATTTGATGAACCTGAGGATGAAACAATCATTGATTTAAATTTATCTAGCAATATAATTTGCTGGATAGAAAGTATTAAAAATAAAGCCATATTTAAATGTATCATATCATTGAAAGAAGAAAATTATTTTATATAAGCCAGATATAACTATAAATTTATGTAATTTTTTAAAGACTTATTCCTTCATGGTCTAGTATTATGCTACTACATTATAATTATGGACAAGCTACATCCTCTACATCAAATGTTGAAAGTTATTTTAATAATTTGAAAAATAGAACATTTAAATTCGTAATGTTACCTATGCCTATTGATAAATTTTTCTGCAAACATTTTGATGAGATAAGAGGATTTAATATCGACGGAGCCTCCCGAATGTCTAATATAATTAAGGAAAAGGATATTGTAGCAAGTTAATATACCACAAAAATCAGAGAATTTACCAATTTCTAAATTTAGCATTGAAATGATAAATGAGAGAGAAGTGTCCGATGATGAAGATGTATTAATTGTATAATTGGAAAGGTTTAGCAGAAAAATCATCCATAAAAAAATCGTACTTCATATTATGGAGCACATTGCCCTGAAATATTACATGTAATTGAAGGGACCATGATTAAATTAGGCATGTTGAAAAATGGGAATCTTACCACAATAAATGGACCTTTAAAAGTAGGATCTAATAGATATATAATCAGTAATACATGTCCCATTGATAGTTTAGCACGAGCAGTAGCAGTAGCCTACTGCGATAGCAAATCATATAAAGCGTTTTTTGATAATATAGAAAATAATAAATTTAAGGAGTTTATAGAATATTTTGTTTCGCATGGGGCTAATAATAATGCATATAAGATAAGGTGTGATTTATTATTAAAATTATTTGATATATAACTAATGTTAGTAATGATTTGTATTGATTGTCTTGCGAATCAACAATATATTATATTATAGAAAAATGTTTTAAAGATGTGTATAGTGTAACCGATATTTTTAAATGTAATAATAAAGAATGTTCACGATCGGAGAATTTTTTTAGAATCCATATGTTTATCAATGAATTTAGATATAATAAATACTATAGGTTTTGAAGGTTTGATATTGCAATTCAAGATACATTACCTCTTTTAACATAGTGTAAAATGTAGGGCCCCTTATCCTTAGTCCATAAATATCAATATAGTGAACAAATTATAATTGACACAACTGGATGTGAAAGTTCTAAATTAATTAATTTTCCTAGATTTAATATATTTAGGAGATATATTTTATACTTTAGGAGCTTTTATAGTTTTTTTTTACCTCCTGCCACTTCTTAGGGGATTGGTCATTATATATGTTATTCTAAACGATTAGATGGAACATGGTAAATATATGATCTTTCAAGATCAATTATATATAAGAATAATGATAGCCAAGAGGAAGTTATATCCCATGCTATTTTATATACCATATGAATCATGTTTATTCACTCTAACATGTGCTAACTGATTCTTATCTTAAAAAACCCACTATATCAAAAAAATATAATACAATATCGGGTATAAAATATTTGGCCTCATGAGGTTAGGTATACCGCGGGGCTTGGCAAACCACTTAATCTCATTTTAATACACCAGAAGGGTAAAATTTTATCCTAATATAGTAGTTTTCATTAGTACACTATACATATAATGGACAAAATATATGTTGAAATATATAATTATTAAATATTTTATTAAGAAATAAAATTTTGATGAAATTTTCAAAAGATTTACATGACAGGATTTTAATTTTTTACTAAAATATCTAATCATTTATATGTTAAATTCTTCTATAATTTGGGTAAGTTTAATGTACATTTATCAAATCTAGATATTATTTCAATCACGATTTGTCAATTTAGAGATAGCTCGGAGTTTGCTGAACCATACACGTCAATTATGGCAGTTAGCAATGAAAAAATTTCAAAATCTTGAAAGGGCAATTTCATGGTTGTTTATGATTGGTGTTTAGGATTTATGCTAAAAAATCTTAATCTCCCCTTAAAATTCAAATTTTTTTTATGTCAAAAATTGTTTATTAAATTAGCCAAAGTTAAGTTTCAATTTTTATGTATAATTTAGCTTCAATTTATAAGTGTTATCATATTTTGAACAATAAAACAATAAAATTATTCTATACATATCATTATTAATAAATAAAAATGCATTTCAATTTATTATGGCCTAAAAAATCCAATGGTTTAGGAAGCCCCTTTGAAGTTGTTTGCCTCACCCCGCCATTGGGGCTCGTTGAACAAAATTTTCACTTTTATCCAAAAAAATAAAATTTAAAAAATAATGATTACATTCTTAAGATTTTTTATAAGGCACCTTTTATAGAGTATAGTCTTAGGTATCCAATCATATATTATTTTTTTATATTATCTATAAAAGAACAAGAGCTATATTATATAATACTATTATATTTATATTTGAATTTCTAAACATGTCCGGTTTCCGCTGAACCGGCATTCATGCGCCCACTAGCCTTGGTCTCTATATATCATGTTTTAATATATTTTTTAGTACCTTCTTAGAGACTAGTAGAATCACGGATAGTCATATATTTACAAATAATATCTTAATATTTATACAAACAAATGTAAAAAAAAGAAGTATTTATTAACTAGTATTTTATATTTTTAAAATCGATTTTATACGATATAATGCAATAGTATTATATTGACGATGAAAATAAATTGCGCTCTGGTCTACCCGATATCTATATCAAACATATGGTCCAGCCAAAATTTATTAGTCCCTCCCTATGAAGTACGCGCATAATGATTTTTTTAAAAATAATCCCGCCAAACGTATTGGTTCTCGCTCGATATCCGGCCCTACTTTTGCAAAATCTATTTAATATATTTTTCACTAAAATTTATAATATCTATGGGGGAGGGACATAGTAAGAAATTATTCCAATTTATTAAAAAAAGATACCTAAATTTAGATATTTAAGACGAGAAATTATTAAATATATTATGATTTATAAATTGAAATTTCAGGCAATCTCCATTATATGCAGTGAATTAAAATGAAAGTAAAAAAAAAAGTGAAGTCACAAGGACTTTCCCCAAAAGATATAGATATAAATAATGATATATTTACCTTTTTCTGGATATATAAATCCATCTAATGAGTTATTTCTATTTTGCTTAGCATAAATGTATAGTGATTTTGGACTCGTCAGATTCTCCAGTTCATTGCTAAGGGTCTTTCAAAATTCAGCTGACGAAGAATTAATATTTCATTCCTATATTTCTGGAATAAGGCTTTTATTAGCCATTATAACCTAAATAATATAATATAATATATATATTATATTAATTGAAAGTTAGCTCCGTGAAGTTGGCAGAACGTTGGAAGTTTATATTTTAATTATAAAAAAAAATTTTAAAATAATTTTAATACTGATTGAATTCACCACACATGTGCTTAAAAATCATTATAAGATAGAGGGGGCGAGAGGTTATTTTAAAATGACTTTGTTGGAAAGATCTAATTTATATCATACGGTAAATTTTAAAATAAAATAAACAACAACAAATATAAGATCACTTCAAAAAGTCTTACATTTTACGGTGTTATATGTGTAGTTATGATTTAATGAAACATGTTGACAAAAGGGGGGGGGGGGGGGGGTAAATAAATATAATAAAATTTATTTTAATTTAATACATATTGAAATTTAAATATGGAACAAGTAATTAAATTAATAAGATTAATCCTTTGAAATGAAATGTGCTGGAAATTTAAATTAAAAATAAAAAATATGTGAAAAGAATATTTACTAATTTTTTAAAATTTTTCTTACCGTGTCCTAAATCAAAAAAATAATTTCGCAAAAGTTTTGCGAAATGCACAACTTTAGCGAGTTTTGCGAGATACGAAACATGTCCCGAATCATACATTTATTTTCAATTTTAAATTGTTTGATATGCATTATACTATTTCTCTATTTTATATTATTTGAAGATACGACTGAGTCTAGAAGAAGGCATAGATTTTTAGAAGGACGGTATATATGATATGATTTATATTATATGTATTAATTCTAGAGATCAAGGAATTTTTAGAACATTTGATAGTATTCCTTCATATCCTGACAAATTTCGTCAGATGTTCCATATTCATGTGGAAACATTTAATTACATTCTTACAAAAATCATAGCACAGATATAAATCATGAACAATATCCAATACTCAATTTTACCCAATCTCAGTTCCAGCGATGGACTGAAAGCTCTAATAATATTAGAGAAACTTTTAATTTATTTGTAAATAATTATATGTAAAATTTTTGTACACATTAATTTTTGATTCCCATAATCTTATATTTCTTAATCCCCATAACCTTATATCTCTTATGAATGTATTCATTTGTCAAAGTTATATAATTTATTTATAAATATTCAATAAAAAGTGCAAATAAAAGTGTTGTTTTGATTACATTATATAAGTAAGTTATTTCTAATTAATTTAATGAGTAAGACAAATGACTAAATTTCAATAATTTTTATTATAAATAAATATACAAAATATGTTTAACATATTATGGTATTAAAAATTAAGATATAAAAATGTATAAAATAATTAAAAAAATACAGTATAAACTAAACTAACATTGTTGTTATAAATTTTAATTTAAAATCAAAAATTTCTTTATCAGTCATAATATTAAATTGAGCTTGATATGATTTGAAAAAACCCATAATATTATGGGGATCATCTCCTTGGGATGTATGTTTGGCAGCAAAACCTATTTTAAAAATTAATGATTATTAAATATATAAATGTACCCCTAAATATCTCCATTTTTTCATCTTCATACTTCTTAGATTTTTTAGCTTTAGATTTAGGAGTATCTAAATTCTTCCTCTTTGAGCTACATGGATTAATATTTTCTTTATTAAAAGAATTGTCTAACTATAATTAAATTAATAATATATACATAATATTAATTTAACCTCTAAAATTTCTTTCTCATATATATCAGTAGGATTAACAATATCAGTTAAAAGATCATGTGTATTTAACTCGTAATCCTAATATATAGTTCATTATATACATTTCATGTTATAATACCTGTGATAATGTTTGTACATTCACCACATCTTGGATATTTTGTTCATAATCCTAAAATATTGTTATTATATAATTATAATTTCATGTTATAATCAGGGTTGCCAGGTCAAAATTTCCAATTGTGGGAGAAATTCGGTATTTTGTGGGAGTAATATAAAAATTGTGGGAGAAATATGAAAATTGCTAAAAAAAAAATTCCTGCGGCCGGGATTTAGAATTGACTTAGTTATCCGCTTATTATTTTTTATAAATATAAAATCGAATCTATTTTCCAAAATAAAATAGGTAATTATTTTTCAAAATAAAATAGCCAACTATTTTTCAAAATAAAATAGGTAACTATTTTCCAAAATAAAATACGCAACTATTTTTTAAAATAGGTAATTATAGTACGACACAAAATTTCTTAAATACTATCTTTATTATTAAAATAACATATTGATTTATTATAATATATTAATTTTGTTTAAAAATAATAAGCAACGATCTTTTTTAAATACAAAAGAATGTAAACAAGATAAAATTTTATGAAAAAATTGTAATTTTACAATGTAAAAAAATATATTTTATGCTAATGTATAAATAAGATTTTATAAAAAAACAAACAATTTTAAATTTACAATGTAAAAAATAATTATAATAAGTGCGGGGAAGTTGTTCTACAGTATTTAGTTAATACAATGGGGGAAGGGAATATGATATTTTGAGGCATCAAAAATCTTCAAATCATAAATCAGTACAGGGCAGTCTATCAACATCTATTGCAAAACAAAAATATTCTTCAAAAATAAGAAATAATACAGATGCAACTACAGTTGCGGAAATGGTAAATACCTATCATGCAGTACAACATTCAGAGAGCTACTTAACATCACAATGTTGGTAGAATCTTTCCCCATAATATTTAACGACTAATATAAATGAAAAGTATACTTTGTAGAACACAAATGAGCAAGGCTATCATCAATGTTTTAGGATATAAATCCAGAAGGTCAATTCTTGACGATTTGAAAAATGTGCAAACATATGCAATTCTAACAGATGCATCTAATAAGGAGATATCAAAACATTTCCCTTGATCCTCCCCTATTTCAACAAAATTAATTTCATTCAATAAAACTATTTAAAAAAATTTCTCCAGATATGAAATATCCAAAGACATAGCTAACCATATATAATGTTAAATATGGCAGATTTGGCATTACCAATGTATTGCATGGCAGCTTTCTGGTCTGATAATTCCTCAATGAATTTGGCAAAAACCAGAGTGTATTTACAAGAATTGAGTCAGCATAATGTTGGTTGACAGGTTCCTCCTAATACGCGCCATCGTAGAATTTTAAAATTTTACAAACCTTTAAAAAATAAATAGATTATAAAAGCTGTCCTAATATTTTGAAAAAAATTTTCAAAAATAAATGGCAGAAGTATATTTAGGAATTTTACATATAGGAAATCTACTATATGCTGTTAATATGCAGTTGCAATCAGAAGAATATAATTTAATAAAAGTTCACTAAATTATGCTGCAGAAATACCAAAGTAAGATTATTATTACTATTATCGGATAATTATTAATAAGATTTAATATGATGTCATGTTTGAGGAGATTATAATGCTTCTTTATTTTTATGATTTGCCAAAATATTCAAAATATTAATTTTACAATGTAAAAAATAAATTTATTTGATTTTATGCAAATGTATAAATAAGATTTTATAAAATATAGAAAGTCAAGTTATAGTTAATTATATTTTATTTGCGATTTAAATAATGGAACTAAACGTTTACTGTCGTTATTAAGATATTTATAAAATTCCTGGCATGACATTTTATAATTTTGTTTAACCATTAACTCGGCCTCTAATGTTGTTAAAGCAATTCGATTTCTCTCCTTTCTCCAGGCAGTCCTCATCAGGCTAAAAATGCGCTCCGATGAGGCATTAGAATGAGGTAAGGAGAAAACATACTCGCAAATTTTTTCCAAGCATGGGGATTTATCGTTATTACGAAAAAATTCCACACATTTCTCCTCTGCTTTTAGACCATCTAACTTTAAGTATTCTGGCGAATCATAAAAAATGGAAAAAATTACAATCTCTTCAAACAAGGCTTCAATGTCTATCGGTAATTTTAATATATTTATTAAATTACAAAAACCATCAAATGATGGTTTCTGTTCCAAGGTCATAATATTTATACACTTGTAAATAGAGTTATTAAAATCAAATCTTGATTGTAAATATTCCAAAATTGTCTTAATAAAAATATTTGCTTCATTTAAAAATACGTTAATTATAATAATATTTGAACATTTTAATATAATATTTTTAGCAATAGCGCCATAAAATTTATTATCTATTTTTAACTGTAGAGATGAACAGAGTTGTAGCATGATTTTATGAATTTTTATCAATAAAAAATCTGATTGCAACCAGTGACCCCTACACTTTTTGAGGGATAGAAGCAGAATACCCCCCTAAAGTACCCCCCCCCCCCATTGTAAATTATTTTTTGACACCAATAAATTTCAAAAATAATTTTTATTGCATCAATATTTATTATAATATAAATATAATGTAAAAAATATATGCTTTAAAAATATTATTTTTAAATTAATAATTTAGATAAATTAGGGGAAGAGAAAGCAAAAGAATTTATAATTTCATCAATATTTAATTGTTTAAATAAATTATTTTCCATTGATAAAATGGTTAAATTATTAAGAAATGGATCTTTCATGACACTACGAAGTCTTGTTTTAATTAGTTTAATTTTACTCATGACCCTTTCGGCAGTACATGATGTAGTAAGAATAGTTAATAAATATTTATATAAAATTGTTAAATTTGGGAAAGCAGAAAAATTTATAAGCAGACGATAAGGTAAAATAAATGAATAGTTTCTCCAGTCTTAATCATTCATCTCAAAATTATTATCATCATCAGAAGAAGCTAAATAATGTATTAGTAAAAATATTTTAATTAAATAAATTTACAATTCTCAGAATCTGACAAATCTTCTTTAACCTCTAGGTCACGAGTAATAATTACGTCCCCCGTTTTAGCCATTTTATAAATATTTCTAAACATCAACATTTCCTCAAAAACTTGACTTGTATTTAATTGATAAAATTCACAGATATCCTTGATATCATCTTTAACAATTGCCTTTTCCGCCATTCCCTTTGGGGTAAAAAATGATGTTTGACTCAAAAATTTTATCGATTCATCGTTAAATCTTTCACTAAACTGCATAATAATTAAATCAAGTGCAGCATAAAACACACTGATTTTAAAGCTAAAATAAAATATTATATTTAATGATGAAAGTATATATATACCTCTCCTTTTTGGATTGTAATGTTTGAAGTCTTGAACTTTCAAAATCAAAAGGTAAATTTCTCTTCTTCATAAAATCTTGGGCCTTTGAAAAGACATCCAAAAATTCAGTGTTATTATCTATTTTAGGATTATAAAATAATAAAAGATAATAATTTAAATTATACTTCTCATATTAATCAGGCAATCTTTTGCCAATTGAATTTGATTTATTGCAAACCCTATATCCTTCGAAATGGTTTGCAATTTTGTACAAGCCAAGCTAGTTATCAACAATATTTTATCCAAAACACATAGTGATAAAATAAAATCAAATTTTTCTATTCTATAGACTATAGCACTAGCCATAGTGGAAGTGGCAGGATCTTCAGAATCCTTTAAATTTGCCAAAGCTGCCCTCAAAGCATCATAAAGTAGGAAAAAATTTACAATCGCCTTATATGATGTTAGCCAGCTTCTATAAATATAAAATAAACATTATATATCGAAACAATTAAGATAATATTACCGAGTGGTATTCTTGATGCGTAAAAATCTATGTGATTTTGTCAGTAAATCACTCTGACATGTTTTGAGCACTTCATATCTTTTAACACCATTAAAATATACGTAAATTTCGTCTAATATTCCCAAGACATTTGGCAGCTCTTTTACTGATTGGCATAATTGAACAACTATTAAATTTAATCGATGACAATAGCACCAAATAAAAGCTGCCTTTGGCGCCTCCGCTCTAATCAAAGCCTGCACTCCATTAATTCTTCCACTCATGTTTGAGGCGCCATCATAGCTTTGCCCCACTAGGAATTCGAGGGGTAGATTCATGGAGCCAGGCTTGGATATTATATTCTCTTTAATATCGAGGCCCGTTGTATTTCCCGTACAATAAATGTCTATCAGCCTTTCAACGGGCTTAGGTGTCTCGCTATTTTCAACATATCTCACTATCAAAGCTATTGCTTCTGATTTCGATACATCATATGTGCCATCAACTATAATTGAATAGCACCTGTTGAATTCAATCTCCTTTTGAATTTTTTTTATAACCATATTTTTCATGGTTTCAATAAGAATATTTATGTTATTATATGATAACAGATTTGAATATAATTTAGATTTTAATCCCTTAATTTTTTTCTCACTTCTTATTTAATAAAAAAAATTATTTTGCTATTTGTCCAATTTTGAGAAATATTCTTAAAAGCCACTATTTCAAAGCTTTTCTTTATATCGTGAAAATTAAGCCCACCATGTCTTTTTCTAATATGATCTGTCCATTTATCATCTCTTATATTATGATATGTACAATTTTTAATCAAGCATTTATATTTTTTTTGGTTAATATTTTTGGGCATATTTTGACAATGATCTAAAAATTATAAATGATTATATATAAGATTTAATATTTAAATTTTTACTATTCCCTTTGATAAAATTTTAATTTTGCGCCAAATCTTGAAAGTGGAAAAATAATTTTATGATAAGAAATATCGGATAACAAACTAATTTGCTAAACATCGATCATAAAAATTTTTAAAATAAAAAATTAAAAAATTTTTTTTAAAATTTAAAAAAAAAAAATAAAAAATTTAAAAAAAAAAAAGTACCCCCATAGAAATTTATAGAAGCAGTTGCTTCGGACCCCCCCCCCGTTGTAGGGGTCACTGATTGCAACTGAATATTAACTACATGAAGTAGATTTCCTACATGTGAAACTAATCCCAAATATGCTTCTGACATTTCATCCTCGAAAATTTTTTTTAGCAAAATAGAACATTTTATTACTTATATCTGTTTGGATATGGGATATAATATCCACTTCTAAAAGTTCTATTCTTCTAACACAAAAATTTTGAAAATGTTGAGTGGAGCACTGCAATTCTATATAACGATATAAAATATATTTATAATAATTATACATACTGTTCTAACTTCTATTCTTTCTAACACAAAAATTTTGAAACTGTCGAGTGGAGAATTGGAGAATTTTATAAAAAATATATTTTAGAGCGGAAAAATAAAATAAAAGAACTAGACATATTTTTCGAATAAATATTTAAAATTTATTTTAAAAATATATAAATAATCAAATACTGTCTCTCAAAATTATTATTTATATATTAAAAACATTAAAATGCTAAAAAAAAATTGTGGGAGAAATTAAAAAATTGTGGGAGCTTTTTGTGGGAGATTTCTAATTGTGGGAGTTTTGTGGGTATGAGATGTATGTGGGTAAACTAAAAAATTGTGGGAGACTCCCACTGATGGGGGGAGACATGGCAACCCTGGTTATAATACATGTGAAGATATTTGATCCAAACTAAAACTTGCCTCTGCATTCTTACAAATATCTTCCACATTTTCTTTTAGCCAAAAATAATCTTCTATAAATTTCAAGTGCCTACTGCTTATCATAGCAGCACCAGAACCTATATAAAATTAAATTATAATATATTTAATAATATCATACCTGATTTTTTTGAAAGGGAATAAAATTTATTAAATTTTGACTTTATAGCTGTGAACTTTTTTTTATTTGCTCATAGTTTAATTCATATATCTTCCCTATCTCTTCCCATTTTATTTTACTTGCTGCATCGCCATCTTTTCGCACAAATTACAAAAGTTTAAAGAAAAAAAGATTAAAGTTTTACGAATCGTAAAATTTGTAAGAATCGTGTAGTATGCGCAAAATCGAAAAAATCATTTAGGCCAACATTTTAATTTTCCGTTTAAAATGGCTTATATTTTTTTTCGTTAAACTCGCGCAAATTGCGCGAGATTATTTTTATGCAATTTTTGATATTTAGGACATAGCCTTATGTAAAAAAAAAGGTTAAAAAAAAAACCACCCGGAAAATAAACCAGTGGAAAAAACTAAAAAACATTTTTTTTCAATTTATTTATATATTTTTCTTCCCATTTTTGTTTTAACATTTTTAAAATCTTTATTTTTTTCTGATGTTTCCTTCAATTTTTTTTTTCTAAAAAAAAAATATATATTATGATTCGAAATAACTCATTTTTAAGATACGGGGAAACGCCAGTTACTATTGAGAGCAAAATAATTCTGGATATTTAAATTATTTCCATTTCTAAAATCATAAAAACTGAACCGGTTATACTTTTTACTCCTTCAAAAAATTATTATATAGGTTCGGTTACGGTTCGGTTACGGTTCGGATATTTATAACGGTTTAACTGTTTACTCCGGGTCCCGGATTTCTATAAATCGGTAAAAACTTGAAAAAAAATTTTTTTTTTTTAATAAATGCAAATGCCATTCTTATTTTTTTCTATAAGAAAGGCGCTAATCGGAAGAACGAAATATAAAAAATTGACAACCTATAATAAAGAAAATTTAAGTTTTACAAATCTCTCAAACCAATTACAATAAATATTTAGTTTTATTTAAATTTTATTTGAAATATTCTCTTGTTATTTTATTACATTTTGTTTTATGTGAAAAGTGCTTGTAAACAATTTTATTATGAATATATATATATACTTGCGATGGTGAATGATGATACTCAGTGTTGTTAAACGGCTCGGTTTGAGCTGATTTTTTAAAAACCGGTAACTCGATATTTAAGCCGGAAAAATTTTATGCAAAACTGAAGATTTTGGTCATTGATAGCACGAAGGTTTATACATCGATTAGCGAAGTCTCGAAGCTTAGTTTGCTCATAACTCACTAGACGTTAATTCTGCTGATATGCCGCTAAAAGACTCTTAATGTTCAATCAAAGGGCTATACATTGGCATATGTATCGCTAATTGCACCTCACTTTTTATAGATAATTCCACCTATTTCCGCTTCTCAAATAAATGAATATAACTCGCTTGTGGTTAATGATACGGATATCCCGTTTGAGAATATTAAAGCACAAATTGAATACTAAATAATTGCCAAGTTTCGAAAGTTCTGCTGATATGCCGTTTAAAGACTCTTAATTTTCAATTAAAGGGCTACACATTGGCATATGTATCGCTAATTGCACCTCACATTTAGAAGAATTCCGCTTATTTCCGCTTCTCAAATAATCGAATACTAAATAATTGCCAAGTTTCGAAAATTATTCTTATTTATTTTCGGTTTTGGCAAAGTGCCAACACTTTATTATTTTGCTCATAACTCACTAGCCGTTAATTCTGCTGATATGCCGTTAAAAGCCTCTTCATGTTCAATCAAAGGGCTACATATTGGCATATGTATCGCTAATTGCACCTCACTTTTTATAGATAATTCCACCTATTTCCGCTTCTCAAATAAATGAATATAACTCGCTTGCGGTTAATGATACGGATATCCCGTTTGAGAATATTAAAGCACAAATTGAAAACTAATTAATTGCCAAGTTTCAAAAAAGGATCTCTTTTACGGTTTTGGCAAAGTGCTAACACTTTTAACTCACGAGCGGTTAATTCTGCTGATGTCCGGATAGAAGTGCAATTAAGACTCTAAATAATGGCGTAATTTTTGTTAATTGCACCTCAAGTCGTTCTGCCAACTTCACGTTTTTTAAATAGGTATAGCTCGGTTACGGTTAGTGATACGGATATCCGGGTTTGAGAATATTAAAGAGTAAATCAAATACTACATTATTGCCAAGTTTCAAAAAAGGATCTCTTTTATATTCGGTTTTGGCAAAGTGTCAACACTTTCTTATTTTGCTCATAACTCACGAACGGTTCATTCTGCCGATGTCCGGATAGAAGTGCAATTAAAGCTCTAAATAATGACATCAATTTTGTCAATTGTACCTCAAGTCGTTCTGCCAACTTCACGGAGCTGTTTTTCATTTAAAATTTATTTTATTATACCATACAAATAATTTATAGTCATATTTAGAATTAGGATAATACAATTATTGAAAAAAAAACAAATAAAAATGCCCTTTACTCTCAAAAATATACTTATCAATACAAAATAATCCTTTCTAATAATATTAAATAAATATAATAAACATTAATAGAATTAATTCATCTTTATTTATGCCCATATAACATATAAACATATTAAATCTTCCCCAATCAATCCATATCTTCACTCCAAATCCAAACAAAGAATGTTCTTTTCTAACAACAACCCATGTGATGATTTCGTTTTCCTCCCATCCACCAGGAAAACTAATTCCCCTGTCAGAAAATAACTGACATTTGATGTATTATATTAAATTTATTTCTTCTTTTTTTCAACAGCTACAACAACAATATAATCTAAAAAATAATATGGGCAAAAGAAAAACAATTCTTGAATCCTAGACACTGAATTTTAATAAAGGGGGGAAAGTTTTGGTTCGGGTAAATTTCGCGTATTCCAAGGGCTCAGCGTTAGGGCTCTCAGCCCTAATTTATGTTTAAAATATAATAATACGATGACATTGATATAATAGATTAGATCTAAATTCCTACAATTTGAACTGCAATGAAAATATTCCTTTGGATCGCTGCTGATAATTTTTCCCACAGTTAAGTGATCGATGAGTAAGGGTGGTGGCAAACAACGACCAAAAAAAATAATTTAAAGGAGAAATGTTTGGTATTCTTTTAAGGTTTTCATCTCATTAAAGCCAGCAGTTTTCGTGGATATTTAATCTGGCGAACATGTCCATTCCTATAAAATTCCAGCAACCAGAATTTTATAAAATATGTCTCCGGTTATCGTGGAGGGAAAAAAAATAATTCTCAATAATGATAGGAGAAAGATAAATTTTTTTTTCAAAGTATGAGGAGAGAGGGGGGGGGGGGTCGGGCGATTAAGAGTTAAAATTAAATATAAGATATTTTTTCCCCAAATCATAAAGCGCCAAAATATATTTGCAATAAATTTTAACTAAATTTCAAAACGATTTTGATTGGGACATTACAATTTTTTAAATTACGAGAAATCTTGTATTCACCTATGAGAAGCGGCAAGGGGGGAGGGAATACACGAATCCAGGCTTATTTATTTTTATAATTTAAATAATGTTTTAAATATTGAAAAACTGAAAAATAATTATGACAATCATTTCCTTGGGAAAAAAAAATATATTTGCCTTTCACACTTCAAAAAATATCATCTTTAAAATCAAGAAGAAATAAAAATCAAAAAAAATTTAT